AACGAGGCCCAGAATGTCCTTCCTTTCCATTCCATATACGACCTTCTCTCCCCTTGCTCCCCTCTGCTATACCCCTACCCTTCCCCTCCAGCTTGTTCAAAGGCGGACAGTGTTCCTTTTCTCAAGGACTAGAGAATTAGCACCAATCTTAAATTTTAGAGAAAACTACGGCGCAGTCAGGGTTTGAGTTTGTAATTGCACTTGAGGCAAAAGGGCCGGTTGGGGATGGGACTGGCCAGAAGTGCCTCTCCCAGCCTGGATTGGCTACGGAATTCATGTGAGGGACACCGGGCCCGTTTAAATGATTTTCTTTCTTAAAAAAAAAAAGAAAAAAAAAAGGGCCGGTAATGCTGAATGTATATGACCTACGTTTTGGGTCCAGTGGGATCCTGTGGGTGTGTGTTGTATTCGCCGGATTGCCTGAAGTGCAATTACAAACTGTTTTTCGTGACTGTGCCTAAGTTACCCTAAATTTTATTTGCCTCCCTTCAAATATCTCTCGTTTTGCTTAATCTCAAACTGAAATTTTCCTTTCAAAAAAAACAAAAACAAAAAAAAAACTGAAGTTTTCCGGGTCCTTTTGGTCCGGTCAAAAGCGAAACTGGCTAATGCTGCCAGAGGTTTTCCACATATGGGGTTGAATTTGTGGCTGCCCTGGGCCCCTGTTATTCTTCCTTTTGAAAGGGGCAAAAAAAAAAAAAAAAAACTCACAAAAGAACAAAAAAAGAAAAAAGAAAAAAAAGAAAAGAAAAAGAAAAGGAAAAAAACGAAACAAAGCTTTGGCAGTGATTGCAGTTGTATACATTCTTTGAAGCGGTAGTGTGACTGTGCCCTCAGTGAGGGCATCTCAGCCCAGTGGCCAGGTTGTCAGATTCCAGAAGACGAGAAAAAAAAAAAAAAAACGCAAACACGGATTCGGCCGTGAAAATGGCTGGATACATTCCTTAAAGTGCCAGTGTGATCAACGTCACTATCCTCTGAGAAAACACAGCTTGATCAGATCACGGATTCCGCTGTCAGATTCCAGGGCCCTAGTCCCACTACAGCAGCAGCGTTGAGTTTCCTCAGTGCCTGAATCTGGACGTGTTCGTTGAGACGTGCAGGCACTGAACGTGTTCGTTGAGACGTGCAGAACTGTCGTTGAGCTTCCTCAACCGCACATCGCCGCAAGCACGTCCAGATCCAGGAGTTGAGGAAACTCAACGAAACCCTCCAAAGTGGGACTTGGCCCCAGCAAGCCCCCAACCAATAACAAAAGGGCAAGTGTACTTTCTCGCGGAACCTGGCAAGATACAACTGCCATAGTTTCGGCCGCTTTTATTTTTTTCTTTTTCTTTTTTTGCATAAAATCAGATCAATCGTAGATTAAGCCGACCGTTCATCTGCGGAATCGCAGGGTCGGAAATCTGTGTAAACCCAGATCCCGCACGGCATTTTGTTTTTTTGTTTTTTTTTGTTTTTTTTTCTGAACTTTGCTTGTTTGGGCCGCTTTCACATGTGAGCGGGGGCTAGGTCCCACTTATACACGAATTATTAAGCGATATTGACCGTCGATAGCAAAGATCAACGGCCAGAATCTCTTAATCCGTGCAAGTGGGACCTTGCCCTGGGGCTAGGTCCCACTTATA